CTTCTGCCTCAGCCTCCCAAATAGCTGGGACTACAGGCACCTGCCACCACACCTGGCTAATTTTTTTGTATATTTTAGTAGAGATGGCTTTTCACCATGTTGGCCAGGCTGGTCTCAAACTCCTAACTTCAGATGATCCGCTCACCTCAGCCTCCCAAAGTGCTAGGATTACAGGCATGCGCCACTGTGCCTGGCCCCTTTGTTTGTTTTTACATTTCTACAGCACATATATGTTTACATATGTAAAAAAAAAATTCTATTGGGGTGAAATTCACATAACATAAAATGAACCACTGTAAACATGAACAATTCAGTGACATTTAGAACTCTCACAGTGCTATGTACCACCACCTCTCTCTAGTTCCAGAACATTTTCATCACCCCCAAAGGACACCCCATGCCCATCAGCTGTCACTCCCCATTTCTCCCCCCTCTGTCCCCTGCAACCACCCAAATCTGCTCTCTGTCTCTATGGATTTACCTATTCTGGATATTTCATATAAATGGAGTCATACAGTGCATGGCATTTGGTGCCTGGCCTATTTGACTTAGCAGACATAATGCTTTCAAGGTTCATCAGTATTATAGCATGTTTCACAGCTGAATAATATCTCATTGTACAGACCACATTTTGCCTATCCATTCTTCTACAGATGAACATTTGGGTTATGTGAATAGTGCTGCTATGCACATTTGTGTATAGATACTTGAGTATATAGTGTTGCTTTGGATTTCTCTAAACTTTATATCATACTTCAACTTGCTTTGGTTGTTCAATGTTAGGTTCTTTTTTTTTTTTTTTTTCTTTGAGACAGAGTCTGGCTCTGTTGCCCAGGCTGGAGTACAGTAGAGCAATCTTGGCTGGCTGCAACCTCCACTTCTGGGTTCAAGCGATTCTCCTGCCTCACCCTCCCAAGTAGCTGGGACTACAGGTGCACACCATCATACCTGGCTAATTTTTTGTATTTTTAGTAGAGATGGGGTTTCACCATGTTGATCAGGCCGGTCTTGAACTCTTGACCTCAAGTGATCCACCTGCCTCAGCCTCCCAAAGTGCTGGGATTATAGATGTGAGTCACCACGCCCAGCCTAGCCAGTTTATTTTCACTGCTGCAAAGCATCCCATTTTTTAAAAGTATTTTATTTTATTATTATTTTTTTGAGACAGGGTCTCACTCTGTCACCCAGACTGGAGTACAGAGGCGCGATCACAAGTTGCTATAGCCTTGACCTCCTGGGCCCAAGCAATCCTCCCATGTTGGCCTCCATAGTAGCTGGGACTACAGGCATGTGCCACCACACCTAGCTAATTTTTGTATTTTTAATCAAGACGGGGTTTCTTCATGTTGTCCAGGCTGGTCGAACTCCTGCGTCAAGCAGTTCTCCCGCCGCAGTCTCCCAAAGTGCCAGAATTATAGGCATAAGCCACTGTGTCTGGTCCAAAGCATTCCATTGCATGACTCCAACACTGTATTTATCCATTCTGGTTTGAGAATATTTAGGCTATTTCCTGCTTTCCCTCTTACAAGGCTGCAGAAACTTTCTTGTCCATAGTTCCTAAGGCTACAAGAGCTTCTCTGGGGCACATATGTAAGAGTTTTATGCTCTCCCATCAGCCACCAAAATACAGATTTTCGTGAAAACCCTTACCGGGAAGACCATCACCCTCGAAGTCAAACCCTCGGATATGATAGAAACTGTAAAGGCTAAGATGCAGGATAAGGATGGAATTCCTCCTGATCATCAAAGACTGATCTTGGCTGGAAAGCAACTGGAAGATGGATGCACTTTGACCACAACATTCAAAAGGAGCTACTCTTCCACTTGTGTTGAGACTTCGTGGTGGTGCTAAGAAAAGAAAGAAGTCTTACGCTACTCCCAAGGAGAATAAGCACACGAGAAAGAAAGTTAAACTGGCTGTCCTGAAATCCAAATAAAGCAGGAAAAGCTGCACGACAAACCTCTCCAACACTGACCTGGGAAGGAAGGGGTGATTTATTCATCAGGGAGCTGCAGAGACATAGTTGCCTAACAGCCAAGCTCACCTAACAGTGAAAGTCCCCGCCCTTTCAAGGGCTTACAACTCTAGAAATTACATGTGAAGGGTCTTGGTCCACGGAGCAGCGTGGGGTACATGACTTAGGTTGGGGTTTGATCGTGTTTAAGTAAAAGCAATGCCTTCCGGAAAGGTTCCTCCATACTATGCCTGGGATCTATAGGAGGGCGATTAAAGGTGGTGCCCGGTCTGCCAGCCTTTACTTCTGTTGAAATCAAGGGGGAGGTGGTCTAAGATGCTTAAGGGTGAGTAAGGGTCTCCTTCTCAGTGGATGTGAATGACAAAATTAGTCGCCTTTGTGGAGACTGCCCTTCTGATGGCTGCAGTGCTGGAGTGATTATGGCAAGCCACTTTGACAGACATTATTGTGGCAAATGTCTTCAACAAACCAGAAGACAAGTAACTGTATGAGTTAATAAAAGACATGAACTAACAAAAAAAAAAAAAAAAAAAAAAAGAGAGAGAGAGAGAGTTTTAAGGTCTCAGGGAAGCCCTTCTTCAAATGTACTTGTTGTTGTCAAATACGAGCTGTCTTTTCGGGAGCCTCCCAGTGTTATCAGCCCTGACTATGCATTAGAATCACCTGGGAACTTTAAAAAATATATAGGCATCTGGAAAACTCCGTGTTGATATTCACTCGGGGTGGCTCACAAAATATTAAAGGTATTAACTATTAGGAAAAGTTATAGATTGTAATCTCAAACCTTTTGGAAGACCCAAAGGTTTTATTGAGGCATGCCGAAGGCAGCCACCTCATTCACATTAGCATAGGAAAGAGATAGAGGCGATCAAAGGCCTTACCCACATCCCTTCGACTCCACTCTGTTTACTCATGTAAATTTTGTGCTGGGTGGGCCCCTCCAAGGAAGATCAAAGGGGAATTACCTGTTAATAGCATTTACTCTGCCCCCCCAACCTAAACCTTTTATCAGTTGTAAAACCATTCTCTTAATCATGTTTATTATCCACAAGTGTGTCAATTTAGAGCCTCTGTTGTAACATCCATGAAATAAATGTGTAGATGGACAGAGGGTCTTGGCCGACTGGTTGCATTTCGCCCTTGCCCACTTGTGTCACTATAAAGGTGTGAGAGTGCATTCATTCATTGGTCGTTGAGTCAGTTTCTGCAGACCAGACCCACAGGTGGCGACCGACGTCTCAACTTCCCCAACCCGTGGAATCATAGTCTCCAGGGATGGGACTGGGCGGCTGCAATTTTGAAAGCCCCCTGGGTGGTTATTTAGCCAAGGTGGAGAACAGCTGGGGCCAAGTCCTGGCCCAAGGTCAGAGAGGGTTGCCATCATCTTAGACTTACTAACATCACTCAGCAGTTGGGCAAAGAAAAGGGACTAAATATAGTCTGAAAGAGTAGACAAAGCATTTCAAACAAACCCTTTAGGGCTGGGCCCGGTGACTTACGCCTGTAATCCAGCACTCTGGGAGGCCAAGGTGGGCGGATCACTTGAGACCAGTAGCTCGAGACCAGCCTGGCCAACATGGTGAACCCCGTCTCTACTAGAAATACAAAAATTAGCCAGATGTGGTGGTGCACATCTGTAATCCCAGTTACTCAGGAGGCTGAGGCAGGAGAATAGCTTGAGCCCGGAAGCAGAGTTTACAGTGAGCCAAGATGGCGCCACTACACTCCAGCCTGGACTACAGAGTGAGACCCTGTCTCAAAATAAATAAATAAATCTACTAAAACCCTTTAAGTTGGGTACAGTGGTGCATGCCTGTAAGTCACGGTAACGATCTCCTACTGTTGTGGGATTTAAGGAGATGATGTCTGTAGAGCACTTGGCATGTATTAAGTGCTCAATAACGAGTTCCTGCAGCCTGGTGAGAAAAATGGCTCACACCTGTAACCGTATGTTGGGAGGCTGAGGCGAGAGGATCCCTTGAGGCCAGGAGTTTGAGACCAGCCTGGGCAATATAAAGAACCTCCCCCCCCCCACCATCTCTACAAAAAAATAATGAAAATTAGCTTGGCATGGCGATACATGCCTGTAGTTCCAGCTAGTCAGGAGGCTGGAGTGGGAGGATCAACTTGAGGTCAGGAGTTGGAGGCTGTAATAAGCTGTGATCGTGCCGCTGCACTCCAGCCTGGGCTACAGAGCAAGGCCCTTTCTCTAGAATAAAAAAGAGAGAGAGAGTAGCTTCCATTTTCAATGTTGTTGATAAAGCAGGTGGGTGTTTCTGAAAATGCAGCAGACACAGCCTTAGACTGCAAGAGGCTGATGGGTTACTGAGCCTCCAGACAGCTGGCGAAGCCACCAGAGCGTGACTTCATGACTTGAGAAGCTGTTCGATCTATGAGAGTACATGTTAGGCAATACATACGTATATATGTAATTTTTTTTTTTTTTTGAGACGGAGTTTCACTCTTGTTGCCCAAGCTAGAGTGCAATGGCGTGATCTTGGCTCACTGCAACCTCCATCTCCCGGGTTCAAGTGATTCTCCTGCCTCAGCCTCCCAAGTAGCTGAGATTATAGGCATGCAGCACCATATCTGCCTAATTTTTTGTATTTTAGTAGAAACGGAATTTCACCACATTAGCCAGGCTGATCTCGAACTCCTGACCTCAAGTGATCCACCCACCTCAGCCTCCCAAAGTGCCGGGATTACAGGCATGAGCCACCGTACCCAGCCCTGTTAGGCATTATTAAAGAATAGGATTGGGGGCAGTAGCTTTCCTGTAGCAAGTGCTCACTATGTGCCAGATACCGGGAGAAGGAGTTTGCAGACATCTCTCATTTCATCCTCACAATCCATGAGGCAGGTATGACTATTCTTCCCACCGTGCAGAGAGGGAAAACAAGTCACATGGAAGCACGTCACACAGCAGAGCTAGGATTGGAACGGAAGCGCCTGCATCCTTCAGCACCTGCATCCCGCCCGCTGTGCTACGCCTCCCCTTGATGCTTTCCTGTGTCTGCTATTTAGCTTTGCTCTGCTGAGTGACAAGCTGTACCAGCGGAAAGAGTCTGTCATCAGTTCTGTGCACACCAAGGTGAAAGGGATAGCAGAAGTGAAAGAGGAGATCCTGGAGAACGGAGTCAAGAAGCTGGTGCACCATGTCTTTGACACCGCGGACTACACCTTCCCTTTGCAGGTAAGCGCCTTGTAGTGTTCTCCCAGGCTCGTCGCTGGTCACCGTCGCCAGGACCTTGCCCCTTTCCCCTAGGATCTAGAGCCTCACTCCAGAAAAAAACATTGGCTTTATTTTAAAAGCTCTGTGAACATCCCAACTGAGAAAACCTAAAAATTGCAAAACTGGGTGAGATCCAGCAGCTCAAAGGAGATGATTCGTTGCTTTACGAAGTCCTACAGGGTTTCTCAAAATAGCAGCATGTCCTGTGTACGTTGAAAACAGGATTAGATTCCCTCACGCTTGATGTATACGCAGCTTTTTAGAGGCGCAGCCACCAAGCCAGCAAAGTCTGCTGAGATTCAGGACAGAGAACTTTCTACTGAAGAGCACCAGCCCTTCTAGATTCTCTGTGTGGTATTTTATCAACAAAAACGTCTCCAGGAGACCGTTCTTGGGTGCATTTTTGCACAAAGAAAGGATGTAAATGGCAAAAAGAGGAAGGTGTCCCTGTCGCAGAGAGAAGGCGTGTGACTGATTAAATATGAAAGCAGCATTGCCAAAAAGGAGAAATTAAACTAGGGTTGAGGAAGCCAAAAAAAAAAAACTGATAAGGGGGTGAGAGGGACAAAGGGCACATCTCCAGCCTCGGGGAGCTAAAACGCTTTGCAAAAACCCGTAAAGCCCAAGCTGCTCTCTGTTGGCTTCTAACCGTGTGTCGTGAAAATCCCGTGACTGCTCAGGTGGTGGGATGCCCTGGTGCCCCTTGATTAAAGTCTGAGAACATCTGAACGGTGTTCCGACAAAGGCTGCTCCCCTACCCTCGCCTCCCCAGGTCTCCTGAGTTTCAATTTAAGGAGATTTTACTGTGTAAAACAATACGAAAGCCTGCTTCGGGGACTGCATCGGTAAATGACTCCTCAATCCATTCGAATGTTCCTTTGCTGTTCCTCAGCTCAGCAGGGCTGCTCGTCCAGCTTTGCTCCTAAGCCCTCGGCATATTCCAAGTTGCCCACAGACCCTGATTTCTAGAAGCTTAGAAAAGTGGAGAGGTTCACCCCCAGGCACTTAGCAAGCTGGATTATTATCATTAAGTAGTTTCTCTTTTCAAAGGCCTTGCATTGCCTTAGGGTCTCCTTCTCCACAGGGGAACTCTTTCTTCGTGATGACCAACTTTCTCAAAACAGAAGGCCAGGAGCAGCGGTTGTGTCCTGAGGTAAGGAGGGGACCGGGAGGCCGGGCGCGGTGGCTCAAGCCTGTAATCCCAGCACTTTGGGAGGCCGAGGCGGGTGGATCACGAGGTCAAGAGATCGAGACCATCCTGGTCAACATGGTGAAACCCCGTCTCTAACAAAAAAGTGCAAAAAATTAGCTGGGCATGGTGGCGCGTGCCTGTAGTCCCAGCTACTCAGGAGGCTGAGGCAGGAGAATTGCCTGAACCCAGGAGGCGGAGGTTGCGGTGAGCCGAGATCGCGCCATTGCACTCCAGCCTGGGTAACAAGGGCGAAACTCAGTCTCAAAAAAAAAAAAAAAAAAGAAGGGGACCGGGAGTGGTGGGTCGCGAGTTCCTGGGGGAGGTGCAGGTCAGAAGAAGCCGAAATTAGGACCCTGAGGTATACTTGAGCCGACAAATATTTACTGAGCACCTGCCTCTTTTGTAGGGTAGGGCTGGGCTGAGTGGAGGAAGGGAGAGAACGCACCCACCTCTTAGAGTCTCAGCCCCTGCATCAGGCGCACGCGCCCCCCTGACTCCCCACCACCCCGACAGTCTTTCCCAGCTTGGCTTTGCCCTCTCCACAATGCTGCCCCTTTCTGGAAAAACTTCTTCCCTATCAAATCCTATTTGTTTTATTCTGGCCAGGTGTGGTGGCTCACACCTATAATCTCAGCACCTTGGAAGACCAAGGCAGGAGGATCACTGGAGCCCAGGAGTTCAAGACCAACCCGGGCAACACAGTGAGACCTTGTCTCTCAAAACAAAAGAAAACGAAAACTGTATTCGTCCTGTGCTGTACCTCGCCATCCTGCTCTCTGCTCTTGAAGATGAAAACCAGCTGTTCTTCTAAGTTTATCTTTGCCAGTGTGTTACTGTTACACATTACCTGTAACTCCCAACCTCCCAGCCACCCCTCTCAGGTAATGTGACCGTGCTGTACCAGGGACCATTCCCAACACTGAGGGCTGCAGCAGCACTGGTCATACCCAGCCAGGTCCCCCACTGATGAGTAGGACCAGCCCTGCCGGTGGGGCTTTGCTCACAGGCCCACTCCGGCAAGAAGGTCTAGCCTCCTGAGTGTCCAGGGGCTCTGGGTAAAAATGCTGTCTTCGAGTTCATCACTTGTACCCACACTCGGAACCAAGATAACATTCCCTTGGTGCGTATCTCGATGACACTTCCCCTAAAAGGAGAGCTCTCTACGTTTGTCCCCATCTCCCCTTAACGAACCCTGCAGCTCAGATGAAATCTCTGCCAGCCGGGCCAGCCACGCCCTCCCTCCCGCCTCCCTTCCTAGCAGTATTCCATCTCCAATCCACTTTCGGGGCCCTGGTTTTCTTTTGTCCCATTCTCTGGTCATCTCGACACCACACACCGCACACCACCTCTGTGTACACAAAAGACACTTTTGGAGTTAGTGAGACTTGGAAGAAAAGAGAGTTAGGATAACCCAGAGATTAAGACCCTGGGCTCAGAAGCTAGACTGCTGAAGGTTCAAAACTTCAACTTCCCAGCTCTGTGACCTCAGGCAGGTGACTCTCCGCCTCTCTGTGCCAAGCTGTGTGCGTCTGTAAAATGCTATAAGAAACATTCATGGAGCATGTACTATGTTCTAAATCCTTTCTTTTCGTAACTCGTTGAATCTTCACGACCACCACACAAGACAGATCTGTTCACTCTGCTTTTACGAACGAGGAAATCGACGCTCAGAGAAGCGAGGGAGTCGGCCAAGGTCTCTCAGCTAGAAAATGGTGCAGCTACTGCTGAACCAGGTTTATCCGGGTCCAAGAACTAGGTCCCTGGCCTGAATCACTGTAGAAACCACAAACTGCACGGAGGACGAAGAGCAGAGGCTATTTTCTTTTTCTTTTATTTATTTTTATTTTTATTTTTTTTTGTTTGAGACGGAGTTTTGCTCTTGTTCCCCAGGGTGGAGTGCAATGGTGCAATCTCGGCTCACCGCAACCTCTGGCTCCCAGATTCAAGTGCTTCTCCTGCCTCAGCCTCCCGAGTTGCTGGGCTTACAGGCACGCGCCACCATGCCTGGCTAATTTTTTTTTTGTATTTTGAGTAGAGACGGGGTTTCTCCATGTTGGTCAGGCTGGTCTTGAACTCCTGACCTCAGGTGACCTGCTCACCTTGGGCTCCCCAAGTGCTGGGATTATAGGCGTGAGCCACCGCGCCCAGACGCAGAGGCTATTTTCACACCTGTGTCATGTTCTGGCTTCCCAAAGACTGGCCATGCAGCCTGCTCCCTAGAAAACAGGAAGGGAAATATGCATATGACCAGGGCAGCTCATTTCTCTTTTCCATGTTGTATAATTCAGCCCTGAGACCCAGCTGGTCTCATTTTTCTTGGGCCAGGTGAGTGTCCTAGCCAAAGTCCCTCCGTTCCACTTGTCCTGCTGCGTCTCTGCACCTGTCTGCCCTACTGAGTCCTTTCAGCCACAGGACTGCTTGGACCAGGCCTCCTGTCCTCCACCCCAGCCATCATCCCTGAAAGTGATCTCGGGCTGCCCAGAACTCTGCTTTCCCCATATTTATTTATTTTTATTGGGATATATTTCACATACCATAAAACCCACCATTTTAAAGTGTACAATTCAGTGGTTTTTAGTATATTCACAGAGTAGTGCAACCATCACCACTGCCTAATTCCAGAATATTTTCTTTATTTTCCCTTTTCTTTTCCTTTTTTTTTTTTTTTTAAGGTGGAGTTTTGCTCTTGTCACCCAGGCTAGAGTGCAGTGGCAAAATCTTGGCTCACTGAAACCTCTGCCTCCCGGGTTCAAGCAATTCTCCTGCCTTAGCCTCCCTAGTAGCTTGGATTACAGGTGTACACCACCACACCTAGTTAATTTTCATATTTTTAGTAGCTACAGGGTTTCACCATGTTGACCAGGCTGGTCTCAAACTTCTGACCTCAGGTGATCTGCCCGCATCGGCCTCCCAAAGTGCTGGGATTATAGGCATGAGCCACCGTGCCCAGCCTCCAGAACATTTTCATCATCCACAAAGGAAACCCCAAATCCATTAGCAGTCGCTCCCCACTCTCCCCTTCCTGTGGTCCCTGGCCACCACCAATCTGCTTTCTGTCTCTATAAATGCCTGTTTTGGACATTTCCTATAAATAGGATCCTACCTGATGTGGCCTTTTGTGTCTGACTTCTTTCGCTCAGCATCATGGTTTTGTTTGTTTGTTTGTTTGTTTGTTTGTTTTAGATGGAGTCTCACTCTGTCGCCCAGGCTGGAGTGCAGTGGCATGATCTCAGCTCACTCCAACCTCCGCCTCCGAGATTTGAGCAATTCTCTGCCTCAGCCTTCTGAGTACCTAGTATTACAGGCACCCGCCACCATGCTCAGCATATGTTTTTTGTATTTTTAGTAGAGACGGGGATTCACCATCTTGGCCAGGCTGGTCTTGAACTCCTGACCTTGCGATCCACTGCCTCGACCTCCCAAAGTGCTGGGATTACAGGCGTGAGCCACCGTGCCCGGCCTAGCATCATGTTCTTGAGATTCATCCATGTTGTAGCCTATGTCAACGCTTCGTCCTTCTTATGGCTAAATAAGATTCTGTGTATGAATGTACCACATTTTATTTGCCCATTCATCCATCAGTGGCCACTTGCATGGTTTCCAGGTTTTGGCAATTCTGAGTACTGCTGCTATGAACATTCATTTGCACATTCTGGTGGACATCAAATCACCTCTCCATGTCTTAGTAACACACGTCATTTACTCCCCACTCTCTCATCCTTCTCTCTGCAGTATCCCACCCGCAGGACGCTCTGTTCCTCCGACCGGGGTTGTAAAAAGGGATGGATGGACCCGCAGAGCAAAGGTACCTTCTGCTTCTTTTCCCGAGATCCTAGGGATGGGTGGTCTGGCATCTTGGTGACATTTGCGATGCCTAGTTCAGGCCTTCAGCCTCTGCTCTCAGCTGCCTTCTTCTGCCATCACCAAGCCATAGGCGAGTCTGCCCACACTTCGGCTCTGTCCCCAGCAGACCAGCTGCTGACTGTAAACATGATTCCAGTTTCCCAATGAGAGAAGTTCCAAAAAGCCTCAAAGGTTCAGGGTTCTCATTGGTAGAAAAATCACATGGCCAGGCCTGGCGCTGTGGCTCACATCCCAGCACTTTGGGAGGCTGAGACAGGCAGATCATGAGGTCAGGAATTCGAGACCAGCCTGACCAACATGGTGAAACCCCATCTCTACTAAAAATACAAAATTAATCGAGCGTGGTGGCACTTGCCTGTAGTGCCAGCTACTCAGGAGGCTTAGGCAGGAGAATCCCTTGAATCCAGGAGGCAGAGGTTGCAGCGAGCCAAGATCGTGCCACTGTACTCCAGCCTGGGCAACAAAGCGAGACTCTCTGTCTCAGAAGAAAAATCACATGGCCCATAGCATCATCTGTGTTTTCTAAACTTTCCCCTTGAATCTCCTCAAAGGTTAAGGATCATGAACTTATACACACAGGGCACCTGGCAGCAATACGCACATTAACCTGCAGAATTTTTTTTTTTTTTTTTTACTTAAAAATTTTTTTCTGTATTATTTTATTTTGCTTTTTTTTTTTTTTTTTTTTGAGACGGAGTTTCACTCTTGTTACCCAGGCTGGAGTGCAATGGCGCGATCTCAGCTCACCGCAACCTCCGCCTCCTGGGTTCAAGCAATTCTCCTGCCTCAGCCTCCCAAGTAGCTGGGATTACAGGCACGTGCCACCATGCCCAGCTAATTTTTTGTATTTTTAGTAGAGACGGGGTTTCACCATGTTGACCAGGATGGTCTACGATCTCTCGACCTCGTGATCCACCCGCCTCGGCCTCCCAAAGTGCTGGGATTACAGGCTTGAGCCACCACGCCTGGCCTTTTATTTTGCTTTTGATTTTATTTATATCTAAGAACCATGCTATTGCAATACCTACAGAATTGCTTTATCTCACATTTTAACTTAAAAAAGAACAGGGCACCAGGCGCAGAGGCTCATGCCTGTAAACTCAGCACTTTGAGAGGGTGAGGCAGGTGGGTCGCTTGAGGTCAGGGGTTCAAGACCACACTGGTCAATATGGTGGTATACTAAAAATACAAAAACTAGCCAGGTGTGATAGTGCACACTTGTAATCCCAGCTACATGGGAGGCTAAGGCAAGAGAATTACTGGAACCTGGGAGGCAGAGGTTGGAGTGAGCTGAGATCACGCCACTGCACTCCAGTCCGGGTGACAGAGCAAGCTTCTGTCTCCAAAAAAAAAAAAAAAAAAAAAGGCACAGGACAAGTTTTAAAATACTGCCCTGTAATATTTTTAAAATATATATTTTTTAAATATTTTAAAAAACAAAAAATCAGTGGTTATAATACAAACACACACAAAAAGGCATATAACCATTATTTTCTTCTACTCCACACTATATGTGTATTTGAGCTGATACAAAGGTTATTTTAAGATTGCTCACTATGTATTTATTTCTCCCTTGGAAACTGGTCAATCACCCTGACACTTCAGGAAGATGTGCCATGTTTATTTCATGGCTTTGCGAACGCTGGCCAGGCCGTGTACCCCTTGAGGGCCCTGTGCCCCTTTAAGAGGCCGCGTTCTAGTCCATTTATACTGAGAGCATACACCTGTTCTGCTCCCCTCAGGGGCATCTTTTCTTGTAAAGAAACAAAAGGAGCCAACAGAATCCACAGTCTTTCTGTGTTCTCTCTGACCTTTATTAGGAAGCTCGCTGTCCAAAGCTCGTTGGCTTTGCCTTGTGTTCGCTGTGGTTAGGATGGGGCTGATGGACGCTGAAGTCGTTGTGATTAGGATGGGGCTGACAGATGCTGGAGTCGTGGTCAGGATGGGGGAGGGCCGCTGAACTGCGTGACTTGGCAAGCCTGGTCCAAGCCTCACCTCTAGCCTGCGTCGAGTTCATGACATCCCTTCTGGAGAACTTCCTCTCCACAGTCCTTTCACATCCGTGGTTCTGCGACGCTTTGACCTCCACAGGAATTCAGACCGGAAGGTGTGGAGTGTACAAAGGGAACCAGAAGACCTGTGAAGTCTCTGCCTGGTGCCCCATTGAGGCTGTGGAGGAGGCCCCTCGGTGAGTCGCACGGGGAGACAGATTGTGGCCCTTGGCAGCGCTCAGATGAGGCCTTGCCGAGGCTGCCTGGGCTTTCCCCTCTCAGCACAGCCCTGCAAAGTGCTGGGTCCTACCGGCCTGGGGATCCCATGCTCCGGATACACTGCTTGGCGCAAACTAGAGTCTCTGGGAGGGCCATGGTGGTTGGTCAACTATTGTAATAATTCTGTACCAGCTGGTGAATAGCTACTACCCTGAGCATCCTTGGGTGTCCCTGGCCCCCTTCCCTCACCCAGCCCTTCCAGGGCACCTCCAGACCCCTCCTCTAGTGCCACAGCAGGGTCCCGTCTGACTCGCCAGTGTCCACACTGAGTGACTAAGAACGGGAAGGAAGGAAGGAAGACAATGGAAGGGAAGGACGAAGCAAGGAAAGAGAAGAGGAGGAAAAAGGAGGAGGGGCGAGGGCAAAGGAGGGGAGGAAAAGGGGAAGGGCCTTTTCTCAGATGCAATGCTCACAGTGACCTACGGATTCGGTGGTCCCCTGTATTGATTCTTGTGGTCAACACACAAAGTCAGGATGTTAAATCTCAGCAGCCACAAGGGCTGATGTATTTCAGCAGGGAATCGTTAGAGGAGACCGGGATTCAATTCCTAGCTCTAACACATTTTTGCTGTGTGTCCTTGGGCAAGTGGCTGAACCTCTCTGAGTTTCAGTGTCCTCATCTGTAAAATCAGAATAACTATCTCGCCAACCTCGTAGGGCTGTGGTAAGGATTAAATGAGATGATACTTGTAAGTTATTGCACAGTAAGCCTCATGCCTGGCTTATACACACACACAGTCTGCCCTTAGGAGTGTGGTGGTGCTAGACCAGCACTGTCCAATAGAACTTATGCACTGATAGAAATGTTTTGTATATGTGGTGTCCAATAGGGTAGCTACTAGGTACATGTGGCTACTGAGTACATGAAATGTGACTACTAAATTTTTTAAATATAGATAGATAGATAGGTTTTGCTCTGTTGCCAGGCTGGTTTTGAGCTCCTGGGCTCAAGCAATCCTCCTCTCTTGGCCTTCCTAAGTTTTGGGATTACAAGTGTGAGCCACTGCTCCCAGCCTGAATTTTTAATTAAATTTAAATTTAAATAGCCACACATGCCTAATGGCTACCATATTGAACGGCGCAGTTCTAGACCAGTGTGATTCAGGATCATTCCCTCAGCATCCGTGGGCAAAGAGAAAACGGCCCCCACGCTGGCTTGTAGAAGGCTCAGGTGAAGGTTTCCCAATGTCAGGGTGGGATGCACTCAGAAGCATCACCCTCTATGGTCCTCAATCGCTAATAGCTCCACTCAGGTTCATTTCTAGGTCAGGGAAGTTTCTTTGACATAGAAGGAATCACCCAGCTCTGGGAGACAGAGCAGCCTACATTCAAGTAGTCCTTGGTTCAAGACAAGGGCCCTTGGCTGGCTGTGGTTTCAGTTCCAGCTCTGCCATCAACTCATTCATCAGATAAACGGTGTGTCTCCAGTGTGCCTGCCTCTGGGTGAGATTTTGACGTGGCCTTGGCCAAGCAACTCCCTGCACTTCAGTTTCTCATATATCATATGAATTAGCTAAGATAGTTCATTTAATCATTCATTCAACACATCCATCACCACGTAGTAGGTGTTTGGTATTTATTTCATATGTAACTATGCACAAGAGGCTGCTAAATTTTAGGTAAAATACAAGTCCCAGATATGGAGTGAGTCCCAACCACTGTACATACCTGAATGTATAATTATGTCAATGTGAGAGGTGTCACAGTAAAATGCCATCAGGTCTTGCATTAGTCCGTTCTCACACTGCTATAAAGAACTACTTAGCCGGGTGCGGTGGCTCACACCTGTAATCCCAGCACTTTGGGAGGCTGAGGCAGGTGAATCACATGAGGTCAGGAGTTCAAGACCAGCCTGGCCAACGTGGTGAAACCCCGTTTCTACTAAAAAATACAAAAATTAGCCAGGTGTGGTGGCACACACCCATAATCCCGGCTACTCAGGAGGCTGAGGCAGGAGAATCACTTGAATCCAGGAGGTGAAGGTTGCAGTGAGCCAAGATGGCACCATTGCACTGCAGCCTGGGTGACAGAGTGAGACTCCATCTCAAAAGAAAAAGAAAAAGAACTACCTGAGACTGAATATTTTATGAAAAAAAGAGGTTTTAATTGACTCAGAGTTCCACAGGCTTAACAGGAAGCATGGCTGGGAAGCCTCAGGAAACTTACAATCATGGCAGAAGGCGAAGAGGCAGCAGGCACATCTTACTATGATGGAGCAGGAGCAGGGTTGTGGGGGATGTGCCACACACTTAAACGATCAGATCTTGTAAGAACTCATTCACTATCACGAGAACAGCAAGGGGGAAGTCCGCTCCCATGACTCATTCGCCTCCATGGGAATTACAATTCAAGATGAGATTTGGGTGGGGACATAGCGCCAAACCACATCAGAGCTCAAGAAGGGAGAAATTCTTGGAGAAGCTGGAGATGCTTTGTGGAGAGTCTCAGCATGCTTTGCCCACTGTTTGGTGTATCCATTTCTCTTCACTCGTCCCAAAGACCAAACCAAGAAACCAGAAGCCTCTGGTCCCACTGGCCCATGGACTCCCTTGGTCCCTGCAGTCACTAATGGTCATTTTGCATGTCTCTCTCCCAGCCCTGCACTCTTGAACAGTGCCGAAAACTTCACTGTGCTCATCAAGAATAATATCGACTTCCCTGGCCACAACTACACCACGTAAGTGCCCAGGCTGCCTGGCTGTATTAGTTATCCACTGCTGCGTAGTAAATTATCCCAAACCTCAGATGCCTGAAACAACAAATGCCTATTGTCTCCCACGGTGTCCGTGGGTCAGGAGTCTGAAAATGACTTTGTTGTGTGGCTCTGAATCAAGGTCTATCAGGTTGTAGCCAAGCTGTCAACCAGGGCTGCAGTCAGTTCTAGGCTTGACTGGGGCTGGAGAACGCTTTTCCAAGCTCTCCACAGTTGGTGGGAGGGCTCAGTTCCTCATCAAGCGAACCTCGCCCTAGGGCCACTTGAGTGTCCTTGCGATATGGTGGCTGGCTTCCCCCAGAGCAAGGAACCCAAGAGACAGAGCAAGCAACCAAGCATATCAAGATGGAAGCCAGAGTCTTTGGGAGCGAGACTCCAGCACTTCTGCCATATGCTATTGATCACACAGGCCAAACGTGGTCCAATGTGAGAGGCCACTGCCCTAGGGTCCCAGGAGGCGGGGATCACTTGGGGCTTTTCATGGAACCTTTCTACCACACTGGCTCACTTCTGGGAAAGAGACAGATCTGTTTTCTTTTCTTTCTTTTTTTTTTTTTTTTTTTTTTTTTTGATACAGTTTTGCTCTTGTTGCCCAGGCTGGAGTGCAATGGCGCAGTCTTGGTTCACTGCAACCTCCGCCTCCTGGGTTCAAGTGCTTCTCCTTCCTCAGCCTCCTGAGTAGCTCAGACTACAGGCATGCGCCACTACATGCAGCTAATTTTGTATTTTTAGTAGAGACGGGCTTTCTCCCTGTTGGTTAGGCTGGCCTCGGCCTCCTGACCTCAGATGATCTGCTCGCCTCGGCCTCCCAAAGTGCTAAGATTACAGGTGTGAACTGCTGTACCTGGCCAAGACACAGACCTGTTTTCAAAAGAGGTGTTTATTTGTTTGTTTGCTTATCATTATGCACAGGAGAAACATCTTGCCAGGTTTAAACATCACTTGTACCTTCCACAAGACTCAGAATCCACAGTGTCCCATTTTCCGACTAGGAGACATCTTCCGAGAAACAGGAGATAATTTTTCAGATGTGGCTATTCAGGTTGGTGGTGCTTTGTGTACTGGGATGTGGGGTGGGGGTGTCTGGAGATGGAGAAAGTCAGATAGCCAAGAGGCCGGGCCACTGGGTCTTCATAACTCAGCTCACATTTACTGAGCATTTCGTAAATCCACGCACCATGCCAAGGGCTTAACCTACGCTACCTCATCAAATCCCAAAACAATCTTAGGAGTGAGACCTACTTGGTGTATTCCTTTCCTGCGGCTGCTGTAACAAGTTACCAAAGTTTAGTGGCTTAAAATAATACAGATTTTTCTTTCTTTTTCCTTTTTTTTTTAGGCAGAGTCTTGCTCTGTCACCCAGGCTGGAGTACAGTGGCACAATCTAGGCTCACTGCAACCTCCACCTCCCGGGTTCAAGCGATTCTCCTGCCTCAGCCTCCGGAGTAGCTGGGATTACAGGAATGCACCACCACACCCAGCTAATTTTTTTGTTTTTTTAGTAGAGACGGGGTTTCACCATGTTGGCCAGGCTGGTCTTGGACGTCAGATCTCATGATCTGCCTGCCTCAGCCTCCCAAAGTGCTAGGATTATAGGCATGAGTCACCGTGCCTGGCCTGGACTTGATCTTTAATAGGGCTGTGGGGGGCATTAAAGGTGTTTGGGTGCAGGAATGGTCTGTTGAAAGTAGTGTTTTAGGACAATGAATTTAACGGTGGTGTGTCCCTGATGGGAGTAGGGAGAGTTAGGAGACGCGTTTGTGGCTGCCACAGTTAACGCTTATGCCAATTAGATGGGGCAGTACATATGGTTCTTTAATCAGCCTTTCTCCTCTAAAAACCTTGAGCGATCATGGCTGTGCAGGGAGATGTGTGGCGGTTGCACAACGCACTCCCAGCAGCCGTAGAGACTGTCTCTTGTTGACTCCTTCAGGGCGGAATAATGGGCATTGAGATCTACTGGGACTGCAACCTAGACCGCTGGTTCCATCACTGCCGTCCCAAATACAGCTTCCGCCGCCTTGACGACAAGACCACCAACGTGTCCTTGTACCCTGGCTACAACTTCAGGTAACTCCAGGGCCCTGGGTCAGACTCGCCCAGTGGTTGAATCGCAACCCCAGCAGTTGGTGAGACTAATTTTGGTTCCCAAGGCAACAAGATGAATAAAAAAAAGACTTTCTCTAAGAACTAGACCGGGTTCGGTGGCTCACGCCTGTCGGCCCAGCACTTTGGGAGGCCAAGGTGGGCCGATCAATTCAGGTCAGGAGTTCGAGGCCAACCTGAGCAACATGGTGAAATCCTGTCTCTACCAAAAATACAAAATTTGCAGGGCTTGGTGGCACGCACCTGTAATCCCAGTTACTTGGGAAACTGAGGCAGGATAATTGTTTGATCCTGAGAGGTGGAGGTTGCAGTGAGCCAAGATTGCACCTTTGCACTCCAGCCTGAGTGACAGAGCAAGACTCTGTCTCAAAATTAATTAATTAATTAATAAAAACTAGGTGGTGACTGAATTTTCAGCATTTTTTTTTTAATTCTCAGAGATGCACACTTTTTTTATTTTATTTTATTTTATTTTGGAAACAGAGTCTTGTTGTGTCACCACCCAGGCTGGAGTGGAGTGGCGCAATCTCAGCTCACTACAACCTCCACCTCCCAGGTTCAAGCAATTCTCCTCCCTCAGCCTCCCAAGTCGCTGGGATTACAGAAGGATGCACCCTTTTTATAAAACAAAACTAATGGGAAACAGAAAAGCATAGAGGGAGATAAAAATGACTCATAATTCCCCTACCCTGAAATAATCAATGATAACTGTCAGGGACATTTTTCTCATCTATACCAATTATTTCATGAGGCTCCAGTGAGATCATAGCATATGTATACTTTGGTATTCTATGGGGTTTTTCATGCCCCAATCACTCAAAATGCTTTGTAACCATCACACTAATGACTATAACATTCCATCGTGTGGGTGTACAAATAACACCTACTACAATTCAGGAAGCGTTTTCTTTTTTTTTTTTTTTTTTTAAGATGGAGTCACACTCTGTCACCCAGGCTAGAGTGCCATGGCACAGTCTCAGCTCACTGCAACCTCTACCTCCTGGGTTCAAGCAATCCTCCGACCTCCCAAGTAGCTGGGACCACAGGCATGTGCCACCACATCCAGCTAAATTTTGTATATTCAGTAGAGACAGGGTTTCACTATGGTGGCCAGTCTGGTTTCGAACTCTTGACCTCAAGTGATCTGCCTGCCTCAGCTTCCCAAAGTGTTGGGATTACAGGCATGCGCCACGGCACCTGGCCCAGGGAGGGTTTTCTATAACAGGCAGTCAGCAGCATCATCCCTAAATCTCCCAACAGCCCTGGAAGAAAGATTTTATGGTTTCTGGAAGATGATTTGCCCAAGACCCACAGCTGATAGTAGATGCCATGTAACTCTAACCAACATCACCCTGACCCCACACTCACCTTCCATCCCTTCCTTCCCATCTCATGATTTTCTCACCCATGCCTCCATGATTGAATATTTGAGTTGTTTCCAGTTTTTCTATTACAAGTAACTGCAGTGTGCATCTTTGCACATAAACTTCTGTTTGAATTTCAGGTTAGTCACTTAGGATAAACTTCTAGACTTACTGAATCAAAGGTTGTGAACATTCTATCATATGCTTTCAGATTTTTTAAAGTATGTATGGTTGGCCAGGTGCAGTGGCTCATGTCTGTAATCCCAGCACTTTGGCCGAAGCAGGCAGATCACTTGAGGTCAGGAGTTCGAGACCAGTCTGACCAATACGGAGAAACCCTGTGTCTACTAAAAATACAAAATTAGCCTGGCGTGATGGTGTGCACCTATCATCCCAGCTACTCAGGAGGCTGAGGCAGGAGAATCACTTGAACCCAGGAGGCAGAGGTTGCGGTAAGCCAAGATGGCACCATTGCACTCCCAACCTGGGCAACAATAGCGAAACTCTGCCTCAAAAATAAATAAATAACAAAAATATCTCTGGTTATCATGGTTTTTTTTTCTGAGACAGACTCTCACTCTGTCGCCCAGGTTGGAGTGGAATGGGTATGATTATAGCTCACTGCAACCTCTGCCTCCAAGGCTCAAGTGATCTTCCCACCTCAGCCTCCTGAATAGCTAGGACTACAGGCGCACGCCAGCATGCCCAGCTAATTTTCAAAAAATTTTTGTAGAAAGGGGGTCTCACTATATCACCCAGGCTGGTCTCAAACTCCTGGGCTCAAGCAATCAGCCTGCCTCAGCCTCCTAAACTGTTGGGATTACAGGTGTGAACCATTGCACCTGGCCTGTAATTTTCATTGCTAGGATTTTTATTTGGTTCTTTTTCAAAGTCATCTATTATTGTTCCGGTGAGTCCCATTCTTACCTTAAGGATCCTACTCCTTCTGTTCATTCTACTGTATCATTCTTTTTTATTATTTATTTATTTTATTTTTTTTGAGATGGAATCCCACCCTGTTGCCCAGGCTACAGTGCAATGGCACAATCTCGGCTCACTGCAATCTCCACCTCATGGGTTCAGACGATTCTCCTCCTTCAGCCTCCCATGGAACTGGGATTACAAGTGTCCGCTACCACACCCAGCTAATTTTTGTATTCTTAGTGGAGACTCCTGACCTCATGATCTGCCTGCCTTGGCCTCCCAGTGTGCTGGGATTACGGGAGTGAGCCACTGCACCTGGCCCTGTATCATTCTTTTGTTGACAAGGAGAGGGCCAGCTGGAACTCTCCCACTGGTGGGGGTGTAAAATGGTACAACCACATCAGAGAATTGTTAAGAAGTTTCTTATCAAGTTAAGCATACACCTACCCTGTAATCTAGAAATCTCACAGTCCCATTCTTAGGTATTTGCCCAAGAGAAATGAAAATACATGTCCACACAAAGATTCATACAAAATGTTCACAGCAGCCTTATTCATAATAGCCAAAAACCAGAAACAACCCAAATGTCCAACAATAGGTGAATGGATAAATTGTGATATATTTATATAGTAAAACACTACTCAGCATACATTTTAAAAGAAACTTAACTACTGATACGTGCAAGAACATAGACGAATCGGTCCCACACACAGTAATTATGCTGAGTGAAAGAAGCCAGACCGAAATGGTACAATACTGTATGACGCCATTTATATAAAGTTCAAGAAAAGGCAAATGTCATTTTAGATAGAAGACAGAACAGTGGTTGCTGAGCTGAGGAGGGCATGGGGTAAGGACTGACTACAAAGGAGTACAAGAGCGTTTTCTAAGACAATGGAATGTTCTAGATTTTGATAGGGATATCAATTGTTTTTCTTTTGTTTTTGTTTTTGTTTTTTTTAAACAGGGCAGGGTCTCATTCTGTCACCTTGTTTGGAATGCAGTGATGCCATCTTGGCTTACTGCAACCTCCACCTCCTGGGCTCAAGCAATCCTCACATCTCAGCCTCCTGAGTAGCTGGGACTACAGGTGCAAGCCACCATGCTCAGCTTATTTAAAAACAATTTTTTTTTTTTTTGGTAGAAACTGGGTCTCAGTATATTACCAAGCATAGTCTCTTGTCTTGACCTTCCAACATGCTGGGATTACAAGCATGAACCACTGTGCCCAGTTGGGATACAGATTATACCAGGTGTTTATTTGTCAAAACTCATTGACTGGAACCCTTAGAATTCGTGCATTTTATCATATGTAGATTATTTCTCAGCAGGACAAATCCAACCAAACTATCACACATAATGATAAGCGCAGTGAAGAAAGTCAAGCAAGATAGTCTGATGGGGGAGACGTGACCAGGGAAAGCCTCTCCAAGCATGGGGGCAGAACCCTGAAGGCATCATTCACTTTCCTGTTTTCCCAGTTAAGAAGAAGAAAAACTGCACAGACAGGAACGCCTATCAGAATCTAGAATGTTCTGGCTGGGTGCAGTGGTTCATGCCTGCAGTCCCAGCATTTTGAGAAGCTGAGAGGCGGGAGGACTGTTTAAGCCTGGCAGCTTGAGATCAGATGGAAACATAGTAAGATCCTGTCTCTAAAAAATAAAAATAAAAAATAGCAGAGTAGGCCGGGCGCGGTGGCTCGCGCCTATAATCCCAGCACTTTGGGAGGCCGAGACAGGTGGATCACGAGGTCAAGAGATCGAGATCATCCTGGTCAACATGGTGAAAACCCGTCTCTACTAAAAATACAAAAATTAGCTGGGCATGGTGGCACACACCTGTAGTCACAGCTACTGGGGAGGCTGAGGCAGGAGAATTGCTTGAACCCAGGAGGCGGAGGTTGCAGTGAGCCGAGATCGCGCCATTGCACTCCAGCCTGGGTAACAAGAATGAAACTCCGTCTCAAAAAAAAAAAAAAAAAAAATAGCAGAGCTGGATATGGTGGTGTATGCCTGTAGTCCCAGCTACTTGGAAGGCTGAGGTGGGAGGATCGCCTGAGCCCCGGAGTTCGAGGTTGCACTGAGCTATGATCATGCCACTACACTGCAGCCTGGGCAACAGAGTGAGACACTGTCTCAAATATATATACATAGAGAGAGACAGAACATTCCATCATCTCAGAAAACTCTCTTGTACTCCTTTCTAGTCAATTCCTACCCCTACCCCCCAGCTCAGCAACCCCTGTCCTGTCTTCTTTCATCTTAAATGAGTTTTGCCTGTTCTTAAACTTCATATAAACAGCATTATACATAGGAATCAATTTGGAAAAACTTATCTGAATCCTTTTGGTGTTTATGATCTAGACTAGTGGTTCTCAAAGTACAGTCCCCAGCATCAGCATCACATAGGACCTTGTTAGAAATGTACATGACCAGCCGGGCGCCATGGCTCACATCTATAATCCCAGCACTTTGGGAGGCTGAGGCGAGGGGATCACTTGAGATCAGGAGTTTGAGACCAGCCTGGCCAACATGCCAAAGCCCCATCTCTACTAAAAAAAAAACACAAAAATTTGCCAGGTGTGTTGGTGCCTGCCTTTAATCCCAGCTACTTGGGAGGCTGAGGCAGGAGAATCACTTGAATTTGAGAGGTGGAGGCTGCAGTGAGCTAAAATCATGCCACTGCACTCCAGCCTGGGTGACAGGGTGAGACTCTGTATCAAAAAAAAGGGAGTGAGGGGCCGGGTGTGGTGGCTCACACCTGTAATCCCAGCACTGGGAGGCCAAGGTGGGCGGATCACAAGGTGAGGAGTTCAAGACCAGTCTGGCCAACATAGTGAAACACCATCTCTACTAAAAATACAAAATTAAGGCCAGGTGCACTGGCTCACACCTGTAATCCCAGCACTTTGGGAGGCCGAGGCAGGTGGATCACGAGGTCAAGAGATCGAGACCATCCTGGTCAACAAGGTGAAACCCCGTCTCTATTAAATATACAAATATTAGCTGGGCATGGTGGTGCGTGCCTGTAGTCCCAGCTACTCGGGAGGCTGAGGCAGGAGAATTGCTTGAACCCAGGAGGCGGAGGTTGCGGTGAGCCAAGATCGCACCATTGCACTCCAGCTTGGGTAACAAGAGCAAAACTCTGTCTCAAAACAAACAAACAAACAAAAATACAAAATTAGCCGGGTGTGGTGGTGTGCGCCTGTAATCCCAGTTACTCAGGAGGCTAAGGCAGGAGAATCACTTGAAGGCAGAGGCTGCAGCGAGCTATATTCAAGCCACTGCACTCCAGCCTGGAAGACAGAGCCAAAAAAAATGAAAACAACAACAACAACAGAAAGACCAATCACTCAATATAGCAGCAGGAGAAAAAGTTCTCTTGGAATAACCACATGCAAAGAAACTGAATTCCCTCCAGTCAGAAACAGGAACAACACTGCCTGAGAATATCTAATTGATTTCAGTGTCAGGTCTTGAAAGAGTTTTTTTTGTTTTTTTGTTTTTGTTTTTGTTTTCTAAGATGGAGTTTTGCTCTTGCTGCCCGGGTTGGAGTGCAATGACACGATCTTGGCTCACTGCAACCTTCACCTCCCAGGTTCAAGCGATTCTCCTGCTTCAGCCTCCTGAGTAGCTGGGATTCCAGTCATGCACCACGATGCCTGGCTAATTTTTTTTTTTTTTTTTTAAATATAAAGATGGGATTTCACCATGTTGGTCAGGCTGGTTCTTGAACTCCCAGCCTCAGGTGATCCGTCCGCCTTGACCTCCAAAGTGCTTGGATTACAGGCGTGAGCCACCACACCCAGCCAATTTTTGTATTTTTAGTAGAGATGGGCTTTCACTATGTTAGTCAGGCTGGTCTCCAACTCCTGACCTCGTGATCCGCCCGCCTAGGCCTCCCAAAGTGCTGGGATTACAGGCACGAGCCACCACATCTGGCCGAGAGGTTTTTTAAAAAGCATTTCAGATGTTCCTTACTATTTTTTGGCAGAACATCTGCCATCTGCTTTCTTCTCTCCCCACATCTGTATTAATAACTCAGAAAAAATATACATGTATATCTAACCTTATAGAAAAGCAACTATCAAAAAGTGGTGAGAAGAAGGGGCAGATTTAAAAGTTTTATGAAGCATTTGTTTTAAGCCTCTGTAACTATGCTTGAAAACCAAAACACACCACTCGTCCTGACTGCAGCACTGGTGAGGATTGCATATTAGGAGTGACTGTGATGATTTGTGCCCGGGGCTTAATTTATAAAGTTAGTACTGAATGATGGCATACAGAGATCAATGCCACTGAAAGAAGATTTTTTTTTTTTTTTTTTTTTTTTTTTGAGATTCTCGCTCTGTTGCCCAGGCTGGAGTACAGTGGTGGTGTGATCTTGGCTCACTGAAGCCTCCACCTCCTGGGTTCAAGTGATTCTCCTGCCTCAGCCTCCCAAGTAGCTGGGATTACTGGTACCTGCCACCACACCCAGCTAATTTTTGTATTTATAGTAGAGATGAGGTTTCACCATGTTGGCCAGGCTGGTCTCAAACTCCTGACCTCAGGTGATCTGCCCGCCTTGGCCTCCCAAAGTGCTGGGATTACAAATGTGAGCCACTACACCTGGTCAAAAAGAATTTATTACGTACTTTTCCCAAGACATGGGGCCACACCACGCCACGCCAGGCCACACCAGGCATTGCCAGACTAGACAGGGCCACAGGATGAAGTACCAGATTTAGTCAGGAGGCAGAATAAAGGGGAAAGAATGGTCTAGAAGCTTTGCTGTGTTTTCCAGTGGAAGGGCAAGGGAGGACTGGGGAAACAGCTTAGGGTTAATGACTTTGAATAATACCAGTGGGTTCTGGGTTACAGGGGTGGTCTCTAAATGTCTGGCCCTCACCCTACCTGCCCTTAAGGAGAAATACTGGAGAGTTAGAAAAGGAGGTGGCTGGGCGCGGTGGCTCACGCCTGTAATCCTAACACTTTGGGAGGCCGAGGTGGGTGGATCACCTGAGGTCAGGAGTTCAAGACCAGCCTGACCATCATGGAGAAACCCCATCTTTAAAAAAAAAAAAAGAAAGAAAGAAAAGGAGGTGGCTATGGGATTGGTCGGAGGGATTGTAATCCAATTTTCACACCCTCACAAACGCCGGATTGTAGGGGAGATGTAAACAATTTCGGCCTTGGGAGGCCAAGATGAAAGAATGGCTCGAAGCCAGAAGTTCAAGGCTGCAACAAGCTGTGATCACACCACTGCACTCCAGTCTGGTTGAAAGAATGAGACCCTGACTCTAAAACATGTTTGAATTTTTTTTTTTTTTTTTTTTTTTTTTTTTTTGAGACAGTCTTGCTCTGCGGCCCAGGCTGGAATGGTATGGTCCGATCTCGGCTCACTGCAACCTCTGTCTCCTGGGTTCAGGCGATTCTTATGCCTCAGCCTCCTGAGTAGCTGGGATTATAGGCATGTACCACCATGCATGGCTAATTTTTGTATTTTTAGCAGACACGGGGGTTCACCATGTTGGCCAGTCTAGTCTCGAACTCCTGACCTCAAGTGATCCACCCGCCTTGGCCTCCCAAAGTGCTAAGATTACAGGCGTGAACCACCACGCCTGTCCAGCAGAAAAATTTAAAAATAAAAATTAGCCATGTGTGATGGTGCATGCCTGTAGTCCCAACCCAGCTACTTGGGAGGCTGAGGTGGGAGTATCACTTGGGCCCAGGAGGTGGAGGCTGCCGTGAGTTATTATCATGCCAGTGCTCTCCAATCTGGTGACAGAACAAGACCCCACCTCAAAAAAACAAAACGAAACAAAACAAAACTTCGGCCTTTAGTTTGGCCCTGTGATTATTAATCGCCAAATAGACGTATGCACAAAGAATCTAAGAAAATACAGTATGCTGGGGTGCGCCTGTTTCAGCCCAGTAATTAGTATCTAAGATTCGCCACCAGCCACTCCCACTTTGTTCTAGATGCCAAACTTCTTTTCCCCCCTTAAGAAACAGTCAGATTTCTTGAAGTTATTATTATTATTATTATTATATTTTTTAGATGGAGTTTTGCTGTTGTTACCCAGGCTGGAGTGCAATGACGCGACCTCGGCTCACCGCAACCTCCGCCTCCTGGGTTCAGGCAATTCTCCTGCCTCAGCCTCCTGAGTAGCTGGGATTACAGGCACGCGCCACCATGCCCAGCTAATGTTTTGTATATTTAGTAGAGACGGGGTTTCACCATGTTGACCAGGATGGTCTCGATCTCTTGACCTCGTGATCCACCCGCCTCGGCCTCCCAAAGTGCTGGAATTACAGGCTTGAGCCACCGTGCCCGGCCTGAAGTTATTTTTTTAAATGCCTCTGCTTGATGTTAATCCTATGTTGGTTTAAAATGCACATTTTAATCTTAAGTAACAAGCTGATTTTCTGTCACTGAGATGATACAAGGACAGGCAGTGGCGCAGGGAAGGGATGCTCTTCAGTTCAGGGTGGGAGAGAGCCACCAGGGCTTTCAATCGTGTTCCTTCCCCCGTCACTTGTGGCAGAGCCAGGGACAGACCATGAGGACTAGACGGGCCACTGTTTGGGCTTTTCCTTCCATCAAATACCAACGTTTTTGGCCAGATGCGGTGGCTTATGCCCATAATCCCAGAAACTTGGGAGGCTGAGGCAGGCGAATCACTTGAGCTTAGGAGTTTGAGACCAGCCTGGACAACATGGCAAAACCCCGTCTCTACAAAAACTTCAAAAAATTTCATCCTGGCCAACATGGTGAAACCCCGTCTCTACTAAAAATACAAAAATTAGCCAGGCATGATGGCAGTGAGCCGAGACTGTGTCACTGTACTCACTCCAGCCTGGTGACAGAGCAAGACTCCATCTCAAAAAAATACAAAAGAATTAGCCGAGAATGGTGGTGCCTGCCTGTAGTCCCAGCTATGTGGAAGGCTGAGGTAGAATCATCTGAGTCCAGGAAGTCAAGGCTGCAGTGAGCAGTGATCCCGCTACTGCACTCCAGCCTAGGTAACAGAGTGAGACACCATCTCAAAAAAAAAAAAAAAAAAAAAGAAAAGAAATGAAAAAAAGAAACCTAGCACTTTCAAAGAGATCTTTATATGGATAGATCTTTTTCTTCCCTCAGATACGCCAAATACTACAAAGAAAACAATGTTGAGAAACGGACCCTGATGAAAGTCTTCGGGATCCGTTTTGACATCCTGGTTTTTGGCACCGTAAGTCTCCCTTCCCAGCTCCAGGCACCTGCATCCCGTGACTGTGCCCTAATGAGTCCTGTGGGGCCTCCGTGGAGGGAAGGTTTTTGGTCACAGCCATTAACTAGCACTGGGCATTTCACACGTGGGATAAAAGAGGAGGGAGATATCCTTGGGGTGCTGTCCTTGAATGGGTCATCTGACCAGTACAGGAGTGGCGTGGAAGGCAATTCTCAGATTTGGCTTTAAAAATATTCTGATACAGCCAGGCGCGGTGGCTCATGCCTGTAATCCCAGCACTTAGGGAGGCTGAGGCGGGTGGATCACGAGGTCAAGAGATCAAGACCATCCTGGCCAACATGGTGAAACTCCATCTCTACTAAAAATACAAAACATTAGCTGGGCATGGTGGTGCGTGCCTGTAATCCCAGCTACTCAGGAGGCTGAGGCAGGAGAATTGCCTGAACCCAGGAGGCAGAGGTTGCGGTGAGCCGAGATCGCGCCATTGCACTCCAGCCTGGGTAACAACAGTGAAACTCCGTCTCAAAAAAAAAAAAAAAAAAAAAAAAAAATTCTGAGACATAAAAAGAGAGAAAGAAATCTCTCTGTAAAATAGTTTGTAAGTAACAGAATCCAACTCAAACTGGCTTAAGGGCAAAAAATTTTTTTTTGAGTTGGCTTTTTCTGGTTCACATAACTGAAAAAAATCCAGGGATTATTTTATTTATTTTATTTTTATTTATTTATTTAGAGATGGAGTCTCGCTCTTTGCCAGGCTGGAGTGCAGTGGCTTGATCTCAGCTCATTGCAACGTCCACCTACTGGGTTCAAGCAATTATCTTGCCTCAGCCTCCTGAGTAGCAGGGACTACTGGTGCCCACCACCCCACCCAGCTTTTTTTTGTATTTTTAGTAGTGACACAGTTCACCATGTTGGCCAGGATGGTCTCGATCTCTTGACCTCATGATCCACCTGCCTCAGTCTCCCAAGTAGCTAGGATTACAGGTGCCTGCCACCCGCACTAGCTTATTTTTGTATTTTTAGTAGAGATGGGGTTTCAGCACCTTGGCCAGGCTGGTCTTGAACTCCTGACCTTATGATCCACCCACCTCAGCCTCCCAAAGTGCTGGGATTACAGGCGTAAGCCACCGTGCCCACCCTCCCACCCCAGGGATTATTTTTAAGCTTCAAGCATGGCTGGATCCAGGGATTCAAACAACATTCTCATCAAGAACTTACTGCCCTCTGCGTCTTACATACGTACATCCTCCTCAGTCTTGGCATCATCCCCAGACCGGCCATCTCTCTACAAAGGTATCAGGCAGCACCTTCAATCTGACTGGTTTAGCAACCTCCGTGAAAAGAAAACAACTGTTTGCCAGAAGGTTCAGCAAAGGTCTCAGACAAATGTCATTGGCTCTGATTGGCCCACTATGAATGGCATGCCCACTGCTGAACTAATCAGTGACCACAGTCATGCCATACTCCCAGTGGTTGGTCTTAAACCAGCCCTAATCCAGCCCCTTCAAAACACACACACACACACACACACACACACACACACACACACACACAAACTACATGGACTGAAAAGAAAATTGGGTATTGTCTTCTGAAGACGCAAGGAAGGGATTCCAGATATGCAAAAATCAACGGATGCCACGACCCCCTGTCCAAGAGTATGTTATTTATGTAAGATGGTGATAAGCAGGATGAGAAGCAATGAGAGAGAGCTGAGAGAACGCAAAGACCACTGGGAATAAAATCCCCGAGGCCACCCGAGAGACGAATCCCTGCAGACATTCCTTCCCTCTGCTTCTGAAATAATCTCAAACCGCTTGGAGGAGAAGCTTGTCTGAAACCCTCGCCCTGTATGGAAAACGACAGACCTTCAGTGGTTCTCCCCTTAATGTGTGGACCCCAGTGCTTGCTGATGTAAAACCTTTGTGGGTCCAGGCACACCCTGGGCAGATGAAGCAGGGTGCCCGAGAGTCACAGTTTCCATCTGCACAAGTCTCTGCCTTGGCGAGCACTTGAACACATCCGTCCGAGTGCCAGCATGAGGCTCCACTCCCTGATAGAACCCACAACTGCACGTTAAAGAAAAGAGCGTTGCTCTCAATTTCACCTGAGTAAACTTTCCCACTCTGTTTTTAGGGAGGAAAATTTGACATTATCCAGCTGGTGGTGTACATCGGCTCAACCCTCTCCTACTTCGGCCTGGTAAGAGATTCTCTTTTCCGCGCTTTAGGAAAATGCTTTGGAGAAGGAAGTGACTAACGTGGCACCTGTCTGGGTTTTCCCCAGGCCACTGTGCTCATTGACTTTCTCATCAACACTTACTCCAGTAACTGCTGTCGGTCCCATGTCTATCCCTGGTGCAAGTGCTGTCGGCCCTGCGTGGTTAATGAATACTACTACAGGAAGAAGTGCGAGTCCATCGTGGAGCCAAAGCCGGTGAGGCCGCTGTGTTCACAGGACACCAGGACACGGAGAGATTCCATGAGATCACTGATAAATGCACCAAGTTAGGCCCAAACCATAGGCTTAATCCTGCAGTGGATACATCTCTGGGCTCTCCCCAATCAACTATCTCAGATGAATTATTTGGTCTTGGAGGAGAACAGAAACAAACATGGAGGGGCGAGATAGAGGGAAGGCAAATTTTTATGTCCAGGACTCGTCGGTTTTGTCATGTATTTATTCGTTTATTTATTTTTATTTACTTTCAGACAGAGTCTCACTCTGTCACCCAGGCTGGAGTGTAGTGTCTCGATCTCGGCTCACCGCAGCCTCTGCCTCCCAGGTTTAAGTGATTCTCCTGCCTCAACCTCCCAAGTAACTGGGACCACAGGCGCACACCACCACACCCATCTAATTTTTGCACTTTTAGTAAAGACAGGGCTTCACTATGTTGGCCAGGCTGGTCTCAAACTCCTGACTTCAAATGATCCACCCACTCAGCCACCCACAATGCTGGGGTGACAAGTGTGAGCCACTGTGCCTGGCTTGTTTTGTCATTTATTAAATTGGTATAGCCAAAACAAAAAAAAAAAAGAAAAGAATAACAACTTTGGAGAACCATTTGGCAGTGACTAATAATGTTTAAGTGGGACATACTTTACAGCCTGGCATTTCCAGTTCTCCAAACCTGCCCTAGAGAAACACTCACATGAATACCCAAGCAGTACACATACACAAAATGCTCAATTGTTTATTACATTATTAATAATGTATGATTATTAATAGTAAAGAAATAGCATCTAACCAAATATCCAATAGGTGAATGGTGAAAGAAACTATGGTAAATCCATAGAAAGGAATACCAGGCACCAGTTTAAAAAAATGAGATAGATAATAATAATGGCAGACATAGGCCAGGCACAGTGGCTCATGCCTGTAATCCCAGCACTTTGGGAGGCTGAGGTGGGTGGATCACCTAAGGTCAGGAGTTTGAGACCAGCCTGATCAATACGGTGAAACCCCGTCTTTAAAAAAAAAAAAAAGAATAAAAATAATAATAATAATAATAATGGCAGATATTTACACAGCACTTCTAAATGCTTTATATATTAACTCACTGAATCTTCACAACCACTTGATGTAAACAGATACTAGTATTATCTCTTTCTATTGACTAGGAAATTAAGCCACAGGAAGGTTAAATAATTGGCCCCAGGCCAGGCACGGTGGCTCACACCTGTAATCCCAGCACTTTGGGAGGCTGAGGCAGGCAGATCACTTGAGGGCAAGAGTTTTGAGACCAGCCCGGCCCACATGGTGAACCCCGTCTCTACTAGAAATACAAAAATTAGCCAGGTGTGGTGGTATACACATGTAGTCCCAGCCATTTGGGAGACTGAGGCAGGAGAATTGCTGGAACCTGGTAGGTGGAGGTTGCAGTGAGCTGAGATCATGCCATTAGACTCCAGCCTGGGTGACAGAGGGAAACTCTGTCTCAAAAAAAAAAATACATACATACATACATATATATGTGTATATATACGGCTTGACGAGAGCAGATCTCCAAGATGTTTTGTTAAAAGGAAAAAAAGCAAACCGTCCAACAATATATATGATATGTAGGCTTAAAAGAAACCACTAGACACAGAAGTTAATCTGTATGTTTTCTACATCTACATGCTACATATACACACGTGTACACACACATACATATACATATGTGTGGGTGTATCTATGTACACAAAATTGTAGCAGCAGTTGCTTCTGGAAAGGGGCTTAGTGTGGGGGAGTAGTCACAGGGATTTGAGCGTCATCTGTATTGTTTTGATTTGATTAATCTGGACCTTATTAAGCAGTCCTCTGCATTCAACTCCGTGATTTCCCCCAAAGAGAAATCTCTGGTGCCTAAAAACAAAGACAATTTCTTTGTCTTTCCCTCATCTAAGAACACGATTGTCCTGTTCCGGCAGCTGAATGCACCATTCACTGTCCATTGTACATACATCCGCAATTTGAAATAAAAGTTCATCTCTGCAGCTAAAACTAATCCCCACTTCATGGCCCAAGATGAGATGAAATTTAACAAACACATCAATAATTAAAGTTGCAGTCGTACAACTTTCTGGAGATAACTGAATCTAGAGTCACTGAAATTGAGAGAATACAACAAAAAAATTTTATGCAGCAATTGGGGGATCCAATCTAAAAACATTAAGTAGTAAGCTGTGGCTGTGTTGAATCTACAAGTTAAGATGTGTGGGGTAGCAGGGCGCGATGGCTCACACCTGTAATCCCAGCACTTTGCGAGGCCAAGGCAGGAGGATCACAAGATCAGGAGATGAGACCATCCTAGCCAACGTGGTGAAATCCTGTCTCTACTAAAATACAAAAAATTAGCCAGGCATGGTGGCAAGTGCCTGTAATCCCAGCTACTCGGGAGGCTGAGGCAGGGGAATCGCTTGAACCCGGGAGGCAGAGGCTGCAGTGAACCGAGATCACACCACTGCACTCTAGTCTGGAGATAGAGCAAGACTCCATTCCCCAACCCTGCCCCCCCAAAAAAAAGATGCATGGGGTTCCATTTCTGATTTACCTTTAGACTCAGAAATCATTAATTCTTGGTTAATGAGAGTTTTGGGCTGGCTTGTTTAATAGTCTATCATTTGGCAAAGGGAATAACAATTGCCTTTAGATAGGCAATTCTTGATATAATTCCGTACAAAAGTGGGTAAACTTTTAAATCATCTTTTTCTAGACATTAAAGTACGTGTCCTTTGTGGATGAATCCCACATTAGGATGGTGAACCAGCAGCTACTAGGGAGAAGACTGCAAGATGTCAAGGGCCAAGAAGTCCCAGTAAGTTAAATGATTTTTGCTCTTTTTTTTTTTTTTTTTAAAGAAAATTTACTATTAAATATAAACACATCCAGAAACTTGTATAAATCAAAACTAATGGATTTTAACAAGGTAAACATACTCATGTAACCAGCACTCAGATTAAACAATTGAAAATTACTAGCAGGAGTCCCTCTTATGCCCCCTTCCAATCACTACCCTTTCTCTCTTTTTTTTTTTTTTTTTTTTGAGACGGAGTTTCGCTCTTGTTACCCAGGCTGGAGTGCAATGGCGCGATCTCGGCTCACCGCAACCTCCGCCTCCTGGGTTCAGGCAATTCTCCTGCCTCAGCCTCCTGAGTAGCTGGGATTACAGGCACGTGCCACCATGCCCAGCTACTTTTTTGTATTTTTAGTAGAGACGGGGTTTCACCATGTTGACCAGGATGGTCTCGATCTCTTGACCTCATGATCCACCCGCCTCGGCCTCCCAAAGTGCTGGGATTACAGTCGTGAGCCACCGCGCCCGGCCCCCTTTCTCTTTTTTTAATTTTTAAAATTTGGCCAGGCACAGTGGCTCACACCTGTAATCCCCACACTTTGGGAGGCCAAGGCAGCCAGATCATTGAGGTCAGGAGTTCAAGACCAACCTGGCCAATATGGCGAAACCCCGTCTCTACTGAAAATACAAAAATCAGCTGGGTGTGATGACATACATGTAATCCCAGCTGCTTGAGAGGCCGAGGCAGGAGAATTGCTTGAACCTGAGGGATGGAGGTTGCCGTGAGCCAAGATTGTGCCACTGCATTCCAGCCTGGGCAACAGAACAAGACTCTGTCTCAAAAAAAAAAAAAAAATGTATTTTTTAATTACAGACGAGGTCTCACTATGTTGCCCAGGCTGGTCTCAAGCAATCCTCCCACCTCAGCCCAGCCAACTGCCTTATCTTAAAAGTAATCATTATTCTATATCTAAGGATTAATTTTATTTCTGCTGGAACTTTCTTGACATTGAATCATGTAGTGTGTAAGCAGCATATCCTCAGTTGAGTGTCTGGCTTCCTTTACTCCACATTATTTTTGTGAGAGTTGTTCATGACGTTGTGCACAATTCATTCTCATTGTGTAATTCCATGTTATCAACATCCAACTTATTCAGCCATCCTACTGTTGATGGACATTTGGGTAGTGTCCAGTTGGCGGCTAATGCCAATAATGCTGCTATGGTCAACGTATGGCACTCTAGCAGGCGGGCGATTACCTAAGAGTGGAACGTATGTCATAAGGCAGACATACGTTCCGTTTTAGGAGACACTAACGAACAGTGCTGCAGAACGGTTGCTCTCACGCACGCTCTCCCCAGTGGTTCTGGCTGCTGTGCGTCTTCAATCTCCTAGGGATGAATTACCACAAACTCAATGGCTTAAAACAGCAGAAGCGTATTCTGTCACAGTTCTGGAGCCTAGAAGTCTGCAATTAAGGTGTTGGTAGGGCGGGCCCCTGTCTATCTGAAGGCTCTAGGGAGGAATCCTTCCTTGCCTCTTCCTGACATCTAGTATTTATGACACTGACTAGGACCTCCAGTATAATACTGAACAGCAGTGATAATAGCAGCCATCTCTGCCTCATTCCCTATCTTAGGGAGAAAGGTTTTGTGTATTTTTTTTTATTGTTTTTTGGGCTGGAGTTTTGTTCTTGTTGGCGCATCTTGGCTCACCGCAACCTCTCCACCTCCAGGGTTCAAGCAATTCTCCTACCTCAGCCTCCCAAGTAGCTGGGATTACAGGCATGCACCACCATGCCCAGCTAATTTTGTATTTTTAGTAAACATGGGATTTTTTTCCATGTTTGTCAGGCTGGTCTCAAATCCCGACCTCAGGTGATCCGCCCACCTCCGCCTCCCAAAGTGTTGGGATTACAGGTGTGAGCCACTGCACCTAGCCTGCAGTGAGTTTTTAAGAATGCACTATCAGATAAGAAAATTCCCTTCTGTTTCTAGTTTGCTAAGCACCATTAATGGATATTGATTTCTTAAATAATGGCTTTTTTTTTTTCTTCTGGCTGGGTGCAGAGGCTCATGCCTGTAATCCCAGCACTTTGGGATGCCAAGGCGGGTGGATCACCTGAGGTCAGGAGTTCAAGAACAGCCTGGCCAACATGGTGAAACTCTCTCTATTAAAAATACAAAAATTAGCCAGGCGTGGTGGTGCACTCCTGTAATCCCAGCTACTCAGGAGGCTGAGGTGGGAGAACTGCTTGAACCTGGGAGGTGGAGGCTGCAGTGAGCTGAGATCACACCACTGCACTCTAGCCTGGGCAACAGAACAAGACTCCATCTTAAAAACAAAAAGTTTTTTTGGCTCCTTTTGAAATAGCAATGAGTTTTTTTTCTTTTCTTTCTTTCTTTTTTTTTTCTGTTATGTGTTGAATTGTACTGATTGGTTTTCAAATATTAAGCTAACCTTGCATTCCTGAAGTAAACTCAATTTGAATGTGTTACACTATTCTTTGTATTTATTACTGAATTCCATTCACTAATATTTAGGATTTTTATATCTCTTCTTGAGAAACACCGGGCAAAGTTTTTCCATTCTTTTAATGTTTTTGTTGGATTTGGGTATGAAGTGAACTACAGTCATGCATCACTTAATGATGGGGATATGTTCTGAAAAGTGATCCAGGCTGAGGTAGGTGGATCACTTGAGGTCAGGAGTTTGAGACCAGCCTGGCCAACATGGTGAAACCCCGTCTCTACTAAAAATATAAAAATTACCCAGGTGTGGTGGCACATACCTGTAATCTCAGCTACTTGGGAGGCTGAGGCAGGAAGATCATCTGAAACCAGGAGGCAGAAGTTGCAGTGAGCCAAGTTGAGCTAGACCCCACGTCAAAAGAAAAAAAACCAATTCACAAATACACACATTAGCCTAGGGTCCAGTTCATCAATATCACTGTGTTTTGCCTCTATGTCTTGTCCCACTGGAAGGTCTTCAGGGACAATAACACACATGGCGCCATCATCTCCTATGATAGTAATGCCTTCATCTCCTGAAGAACATACCTGAGGCTGTTTTAAAGTTAACTGTTTTTAAATAAATAGAAGCAATACATTCTGAAATAATAAAAAAGTATAGTATAGTAAATACATAAACCAGTAACAAAGCTGTTTATGATCAAGCATTATGTACTGCACATAATTATATTTTATACGACTGCTAGTGAGGTAGGTCTGTTTACGTCAGCATCACCACAAACATGATAATGCACTGCACCACGATGTGATGGTGTACATGATGTCACTAGGGGATAGGAATGTTTCAGCTCCAATGTAATCTTATGGGACCACTTTCATATATGTGGTCCATCACTGACCAAAATGTCACTATGTGGCACACAATTGTGTTTAGTATGTATGTGTGTATGTGCACTCACGTGCATACGGTAAAATATACGTAATGAAATTTACAATTTTAACCATTTTACAGTATACAAGTCAGTGACATTTGGCTCGTTCGCAACACTGTGCAGCCATCACCACTCTCTAGTTCCAGAGTTCGTTCATCTCCCCAAAAGGAAACCTGTGTTCACTAAGCAGCCTCTCCCCATTCTGATGTCCCCCAGCCCCTGGCGACCACGAATCTACTCTCAGTCTCTCTGGATTTGCTTATTCTGAACATTTCCTATGAATGGACTCGCACACCATATGGCCTTTTGTGCCTGGCTTCTTTCATGCCGCACTGTATTTTCTAGATTCGTCAGTGTTGCAGCAGGTTCCAGCACTTCATTCCTTTTTATGGCTGAATAATATTCCATCGCATGGACTTATGTTTTGTTTATCCATTTATCAGCTGATGGACACCTGGGTTGTCTCTGCCCTTTGGCTGTGGTGAAAAATGCTGCTATGAGCATTCACGTACAAGAACCATTTAGTTTTCGTGTTCTTGACTCAGGCCTTCATCATCCAGTAAATGAAAGGGTATGTCACAAGGAATAGATGTGGCAACCACAGCAACTTCCCTTAGATAATAAACGGATTTGGCCGGCGCACTGGCTCATGCCTGTAATCCCAACACTTTGGGAGGCCAAGGTGGGCAGATCACTTGAGGTTGGGCGTTCAAGACCAGCCTGACCAACATGGTGAAACCCCCATCTATACTAAAAGTACAAAATAAGCCAGGTGTGGTGGCACATGCCTGTAATCCCAGCTACTGAGGAGGCTGAAACAGGAGAATCACTTGAATCCGGGAGGTGGAGGTTGCAGTGAGCCGAGATCATGCCATTGCACTCTAGCCTGGGCAACAAGAATGAAACAATGTCTCAAAAATAAAATAAAAGTGGATTTGCCAGGAGGGAGAGCATGGTGGGAAAGAGAGAGTCGTGCTAAGTCAACAAGTATTTCCCGTCTCTCATGCGCCGGGCCCCAGCCCAGGCATCACGGATATGGCAGTAACAAAGCAGACAGCGTCCCTGCTTCTGTATGGAAGAAGAATCATCATCAAGTAAACACATAAATTAATAAGACAATTTCCAGTAGTGCTAAGTCCTGTGAAGAATGTGGAATACCGTGGTGTGATAAGAGAATCACATGAGAGAAAAGCTGCTAGATATGGTGGTCAGGCCCAGAGGCAACATCTCAACAGAAGCCTGGCTTTTCTGAATTTTATTTTCCAAAATCTATAAAATAGGCCATGTGCAATGGCTCATGCCTGTAATCCCAGCACTTTGGGAGGGTGAGACAGCTGGGTCACCTGAGGTCAGGAGTTCAGATCAACCTGGCCAACATGGTGAAATCTTTTCTACTAAAAATATGAAAGAATTAGCTGGGCATGGTGGCATGCACTTGTAATTCCAGCTACTTAGGAGGCTAAGGCATGAAAATTGCTTGAACGTGGGAGGTGGAGGTTGCAGTGAGCCGAGATCGCACCACTGCACTCCAGCCTGGGAAACAGAGTGACACCCTCTTAAAAAAAAAAAAAAAAACAACAAAAAAAAAAACTGTAAAATAGAGACAAGGATACATATCTGACAAACGTCTTCAAAGGCTTGAATGAGGTAATGCTTACAGAACCCACGCAGGGTCCTGACAGCTACACTTCATAAATGACAGCTACTACAACTTATGTAATATTAAATGTAACTTTCCAAGTTAATAAAGTTAAAGAACCTAGAACCTCAAGGGTTGTCTGTGCTAATAAGTTTGGGAACTTGCCTTTTCAGAGACCTCCGGTGGACTTCACAGACTTGTCCAAGCTGCCCCTGGCCCTCCATGACCCACCCCCTACTCCTGGACAACCAGAGGAGATGCAGCTGCTTAGAGAGGAGGCGACTACTAGACCCAGGGACAGCCCAGTCTGGTGCCAGTGTGGAAGCTGCCTCCCATCCCAACTTCCAGAGAGCCGCAGGTACCTGGAGGAGCTATGCTGCCGGAAGAAGCCGGGGGCCTGTATCACCACCTCAGAGCTGTTCAGGAAGCTGGTCCTGTCCAGGCACATCCTGCAGTTCCTCCTGCTCTACCAGGACCCCTTGCTGGCGCTGGATGTGGACTCCACCAACAACCAGCTGCGGCACTGTGCCTACAGGTGCTACGCCACCTGGCGCTTCGGCTCCCAGGACATGGCTGACTTTGCCATCCTGCCCAGCTGCTGCCGCTGGAGGATCCGGAGAGAGTTTCCCAAGAGTCAAGGGCAGTACAGTGGCTTCAAAAGTCCTTACTGAAGCCAGATGCGTGGCTCATGTGTGTAATCCCAGCACTTTGGGAGGCCAAGGCAGGCAGATCACCTGAGGTCAGGAGTTGGAGACCAGCCTGGTTAACAAGGCAAAATCCCATCTATACTAAAAATACAAAAATTAGCCCGGGATAGTGGCACATACCTGTAATCCCAGCTACTCAAGAGGCTGAGGCACGAGAATCATTTGAACCTTGGAGGTAGAGATTTCAGTGAGCCAAGATTGCACCACTGCACTCCAGCCTGGACGACACAGCAAACCCTGTCTGAAAAAATAAAACTAAAGTCCTTACTGATAGCAGGGGGCTGCAGTAGCCACATTAACATGACCTTTGCTAGCATCTTGAACTTCATCTGCAAAGCTCTGTGACCACAATTTCACCCAAAGGGAAATGTGCTTTCATCTTCTATAGCTCTCTGTGTCTGAGAGCAAAGTAACCTGGTTAAACAAACCAGAATCCCTCCGCCTGGACAGAGAGCAGAGAGATTCAGATGAAGTCTCAACTCTGTCCCTAGGAAGCTGTGTGTGACCCTAGTCCTCTCACCTCTGCCTCTGCTTCCCCATTGCCCAACTACTATCTCAGAGATACTGTGAGGATAAATTAAGTGTACATGAACTGTCTTGTTAATGTGTAAAGAGCTATGTGAATGCAAAACATTTCATTATGAGGTCAGACTAGGATAATGTCCAACGAAAAACAAACCTTTTTGCTTCTGGTTGGAGAATGTGGAGGACTAAAGGTGGCCACAAATACTGTGACACTCAAATCCCCCAAGACCTAAGGGTCTTATCTCTTCCCATTGAGTATGGGTGGCTCTGATTGTTTTATCCAAAAGTGAAAGTGATATTGTGACAGTTTCAGATCTTGGTCTTAAGAGACTGACAGCTGCTACTTTGTGTCCCTTGGAACTCTTGCTACCGGGGAAGCCAGACTCCATTTAAAAATCTGTCTATCCTGGCCGGGCGTGGTGGCTCATGCCTGTAATCCCAGAACTTTGGGAGGCTGAGGAGGGCTGATCACTTAAGGTCGGGAGTCCGAGACCCAACTCATCAAAATGGTGAAACCACAGCTCTACTGAAAATACAAAAATTAGCTGGACATGGTGGTAGGCACCTGTAGCCCTAGCTATTAAGAGGCTGTGACGGGAGAAATGCCTGAACCCGGGCGGTGGAGGCTGCACTGAGCTAAGATCGTGCCACTGCACTCCAGGCTGGGTGACAGAGCAAGACTCCATCTCAAAAAACAAAAAAACAAAAAACAACAAAAAAAAAAATGTCTGCCTATCCTGAGACTGCCCTGCTATGAGGAAGCCCGAGCAGCCATGTGGAAAGTGCCTGACCAGCCCCAGCTTTCAGGCCATCCAAACTTGGTCACCAAACATGAGAGAGAAGTCTTCAGGTGATTCTGGACCCTACTAACATATGACTGATACTGCATGATACATCCCAAGTAAGAACTTCCCCATAAATCCAGAAAACCAAAATGCTATCTTAAGTCACTAAGTTTGGGGCTTGTTTGTTCCAAAGCAACAGGTAACGGGAACAGAGAGCAAGCCTGACGAATGCGCACACAGACTCAGCCCCTACCTTCCCTGGTTCTAATGTTCTTAGGGAGCCCAGGCCAACCCTGGAACCCTCAGGAACATCGGTTTCCACTGGACAGTTCAAGAAGGGCTATAGCCCAAATCAGTTAACTCACCAGACCAGCCCTGGAATCCATCAAATCTAACGCTGAGCTACCCAGTGCAGGCCAATCCTCGTCACAATTCTATGACTGAAGACCAGGCACTGTGGCTCATGCCTGTAATCTCAGGACTTTGGAAGGCGGAGGTGGGTAGATCCTGAGGTCAAGAGTTCAAGACCAGCCTGGCCAACATGGTGAAACCCCATCTCTATGAAGAATATAAAAATCAGCTGGGTGTGGTGGTGGGTGCCTGTAATCCCAGCTACTCGGGAGGCTGAGGCAGGAGAATCACTTGAACCCGGGAGGTGAAGGTTGCAGTGAGCTAAGATCATGACACTGCACTCCAGCCTGGGCAACAGAGCAAGACTCTGTCTCAAAAAACAACAACAAAACAAAACAATGCTGTGACTAAAAGTGACTAAAAAGCTGCCTTGATGCCATTAACACCCTGTACTTTGTAGCCATTCAGAATTGATGCAGTCTGGCTGCTAGCTACTTCAAAAACAACCCACAACCACACCTTTACCATTTCCATCATCAACTGCTAAGAACAGGAAAATGCATAGTGACGGGTTTTAGGATCCTGCTTTAGGATTTCCTTTTCCTGGTTTTGTCACCAGAGTTGGCTATTTAACTGTTTCTAAACAACCACCATTTAATCGAACAGTTTGGAGACCACTGTTAAATATCATGACTGATAAAGGATCTGTGAATTTTTTATACATATTCTAAGAGTTACCATTTTGATACCTTTTAAAAACCAGCAGCTTTCTACACTATTCATATAGAACAGCATGAATAAAAAATGTTTTTTGATACAGGGTTTTATCTGGCTTTAAACTCAGGAACCAAGTTAATTATGCCAGATTGAACTTCGATTTTTCATACCTTTTCAAAGATATTTTTAAAAGTGCATTATTATATATGAATTCTTTGGAGCTGACACTTCTTTACTCCAGGAATTCTATGTCACTCTTACAGGGTTCCATTCTGATGGCCTCTGGGCCTTTGTACCTTCGTGTTTGGTGCCTTATTCCTAGTATATTTCTATCACTTTAATGAGGCCACAGATGGAATTAAAATGTGAAGTTACAAATCATCACTGGAACCATCTGCTTTTCTCACCTTCTACACTGATGCTCTGGGCGAGACAGTGACATGTCACTTCAACTGGGTAACATGTCACACACGTCCCACAGTAACAGGAGTCATAGTTGTATTCTTATTTTTAATTTACTGTAGAAAATAATGTCATCTCCAAAGGTGATGGGAGTCACATTTTGTAGGACATGTTTTCTTATACTTCTGCTGTGGTAACGGCCAGTATTCATGGCTTCGTCTCAGAAAAGAAGGGATCTGCTTTCTCTTGGCTGATTTCACATAATATTGGTAATGAACTTTCATTCCTCATTCGAATGGGGAATTACTTTTTAAACCCTTCCTGATTTTAGCCTGGTAATGTAAGTATCCTTAATGTGACTATTTTGATAATAAATCAATCTCCCTTCCTGATTTTAGCCTGGTAATGTAAGTATCCTTAATTGGTAATGTAAGTATCCTTAATGTGACTATTTTGATAATAAATCAATCTCCCTTCCTGATTTTAGCCTGGTAATGTAAGTATCCTTAATGTGACTGTTTTGATAATAAAAAAAAATGTATAATTTATTTAAATCTTCTCTTTATTTTCTTTCCTTTCAGAAGGTCCCCAAATCACAGTTAACTCATTCATTGACACATTTCTTCAACAACTACTCATTGAGACACTCTCTAGAGATCGAGGTTAAATAAGGTTGGTGGTCTTGTGAAAATGTGAAGAGATGAAAAATAATTCCAGCAAATAGAATCTGGCAACTTGTGCTGAGTATCATGGTAAAGAGGCAAATGATGCCATGAGAGCTTATAGCAGGGGAATTTAGCCTACTGGGGAGATCAGCCTACCTGAGGAAGGAATGTTTTAGCTAAAATTTGAAGGATGAGCACTACTTAAATAGTGAATGGGGAAGGAAGGAGCACTCTAGGCAGAGACAACAGTATGTGCAAAGGTCCTGGGGCAGGAAAAGCATAGCAGGTTTACAGAACTTAGAGACCTGTATGTGCCATAAAGAGTACAGGGAAGTAAGGCATGAGTCACGGTTGGAAGCAGGCAGGGGCTAGGCTTCCTGGAATCTTGTGGGTCACAACAGAGTTTGTCTTTATCCTAAGACCTAAGCCACATAAAGGTTCTAAACAGGAGCCTGGTGAGATCATATTTAATTTTTATTTTTATTTATTTATTTATTTATTTATTTTTTATTTGTTTTGAGATAGAGTCTTGCTCTGTTGCCCAGGCTGGAGTGCAGTGGCTTGATCTCGGCTCACTGCAACCTCTGCCTCCTGGGTTCAAGTGATTCTCCTGCCTCAGCCTCCCAAGTATCTGGAATTACAGGCACGCAACACCACACCCGGCTAATTTTTGTATTTTTAGGAGAGACGGGTTCATCAGGTTGACCAGGATGGTCTCAAACTCCTGACCTCAAGTGATCTGCCAAAGTGTTGGGATTACAGGCGTGAGCCACTGCGCCCAGCTGCCATATTAATTTGTAAATGCTCACTGCAATCGCTGTGTGGAAAATGAGCTAGGCGCGGTGGTGGATGTGGTCTTTGTTTTTGTTTCAGTCTTTCCCTGCTCCATGAAACATGTGTCCCATATATGCGGCCAAACAGAATGTTTCTCTTTTCTTCCCTCCTCTTCCTCTTGGGAAGTCACCAAAAAAAGGGGGGGGGGAGGAAATCAGCAGCAAGAGAAAAGGAGGAAAAGCTTCGGTGTGCCTTGAATTTTGGAATAGCCCCTGCCCCCAGTTGGCAGGGATGAGACTGCTTGTTGAGCTTCAGATCACGGGAAGGAGTGCAGCAAATCAGGAGACGAGGGGCAGTCAGCAGGGCCCACTGGGTATCCACCCTGCGGTGTAAGGCCTAAGATCAAGCTCTCAGATGAGGTGCTGCCTTGACGTCAGGTGAAATCAGGAGTGCCTAGAATAGCCTAACCCCAAGTTTCTCTCCCAGTCCTCCCTCGGCCAAGGGTGCCCAGCGAAACGATCTTCCTTATCAAACAGACCCGACGAAGTTCCTGCTAACCCATGGAATTGTCCAAATGAGCCAACCACATCCTCCAGGGAAACCAGGTCCTCCTCACCCTCTTATTGCTACAGAGCGTGCCCCCCACTGGCCCTGGTTGTTCACTGTTTCTGTGTGGCCCTGCATGGCATGTGGGGGTCTTCCTCCTTGAGCTGTGAGTATGTGTGACCAAAAATTGCTGCCAATCTCATTTGCCCAGTGTTGGGTGTCACGTGTTTAGCCATCCCCAGAACACTGGGGTGGGAACTGGGAATCCCTCCCTCACCACTGAGGTAAAGAGGAGGTTATTAAAACATCCCTAATTCGGCCAGGGCAGTGGCTCATACCTGTAGTCCCAGTACTTTGGGAGGCTGAGGCAGGTGGATCATCTGAGGTCAGGAGTTTGAGACCAGCCTGGACAACATGGTAAAATGCTGTTTCTCCTAAATATACAAAAAATTAGCTGAGCATGGTGGCCAGCACCTG